TCAGCAGGGACTGACACTACTAGAAAACTAAGAGCTGTAGCCTCTAAACTCTGCTGACCCACTAAGAAAATAAAAGAAAAATAAATGGCTACAGGAAATGCTGCTTTGAGTTCTGCTGCTAACCTGAAGAAACACGCTTCATAACAGTCCTACACGTGCACTACACAACGGCTGGGATAGTCAGGGATTGGAACCACGTCAGAGAGACAGTCTCACGTGTTACTTACAACTTTTCTTTTTCCTTTAAGAGCAGTAAATTAGAGTTGCTTTAATTCATGCATGCTTGCAAGTTGCTGCGTATCAAACAAAAAGCACCATATAGGCTAGGTACCTTTTGAAGTTTATTTTTACACTATGCGAAAATTCTCTGGGACTCAGATAACCTCATTTACACTCTCTTTTAACAGCTACAGCCTCCAAAGCAAGAGCACAATTTATAATTAGAACAGCTCTCCATGCAATCCTCTGCCAGACCTAGCATGCCTCCTTACCTTAAAGGCCAGATGTTCCAGGAAGTAACCAGCCCCGTTGTTCTTCTCGTTTTCATAGCGGCTCCCTGCCCCGATCCACAGGCCCACCTAACAGCAAAAGTACACGTATGAGCAAAGAAAACAAACAGCATGCTCAAGCCTTGTGCCACATATATAACAGCAGGGACAAGAAGTCTGCCTCACAGACATTGCACTAGCAGCACCAAAACAAGAACAAGCACCACCAACCGTTTCCTGTACACATTTTGGCTTTTTGTCTAGCAGCTTCACAAAAGCCTTTGTTAGTTTTGCCAGAGATATAACTACTACTGGCCACTTAGTGCTTACACAAACTGTAAGACTGAGAAAACTTGTAGACCGCTAAAGCTTCACTGCAGATGTATACAAAGCCAGGCTATGCCTTCTGCTGCTACGTTAATCCCACCAGTTAATGAAGAGCAGTGGTAGGGTCTCTGTCAACAGCTTCGGTTTAAACAGTGGTTCTGTCATGTTTGGAAGACCAGCTACAGACCAGGCAAGGCTGACTCTTTCAAGTCAGCCTTTAACCTGTCTTAAACTTACCGTACATGTCGGCTGGTTGGACTCCTCCGAAGCTACACGGAGACCATTGTCCAGAGTGGTGACCTGGGTCTCGGGGATATTCTGGAGTGTCTGGGCATAGGTGGCAGCACCTCGGTTCCTTGTCAAAGTCAATAAAGCTGCCTAAAAAAAAACAACAACACTACCATTCCGGCTCCCCAGCAGCTCCCCTGGGCAGGGCAGGGCAGGGCAGGGCTCCAGCAGGCAGGCTGCCGGGCACACAGCCGGCCAAGCCCAGGGCAGACGAGCGCTGTCGCGTTCATCCCGCTGCACACGGCTCGTCACCCGGAGGACTGGACGCCCTCGCAGCGCCAGGGGCTCCGAGCAGGTTGAACGCCCCCGGGGAGAGTCCCACGAACCGGCCAGAGCCCGGCACAGGGCGGAGAAAGGGAGCGGACAACAGG